AAAAAATACCAAATTATCAAACAAATCAGTCCAGGGTTCTACTGTGGAGCACATAAGAACTCAAAAATATTATAAAAGTTCAAGAAAAACCCTTTGAAACCCTTTTCATCTTAACTTCCTATCGAATTACCTAAGCATCATTAGAAAGTAATTCAAAAGCTGAGGCAAATTTAGTTATTCAAATTCACTCTGCCACACCTCTTAAATATTTTGTATTACACCAATTAAAAAGCCACCAACTGTGGGGGAAGATCCAATTTAAATTATGTATTGGATATTATTAAGGATTTTTCTTCAGGATTTCCTTGATTCCCCCAAAGTTCTAAAAAAAAGGCCTGGACATTTTTAAGGCAAATGTTCACCTGATTCATCAATGACAAGCCATGGTTTGTTTCAATCTTCCTTTTTCAACGAGCAGTGTGAAGGGATTTTGTTATGCTTAAGGTTGATATTAGTAATATTGATATTAGTAGTGATATTTTGTAATTATTATACATACATACATACATACATACATACATACATACATACATACATATATATATATATATATATATATATTTGTTTATGTGCAAGCAGCTTTGTAGATGCTTTAGATTGGGAAATTAGTTATATAGAAGGAAATGTTTTATGCTTTAGGTATAGGTGATTGCTTATATGAAAAGAGCAAGGTAAGGGGAGGGGGGAAAGGAGTTATGGATGGAGCCTGGGTTGCTGTGTATGAGTCATCATCTAGGAATTATTTTTTTGTGCCATCTTATGCCTAGTACCAAGACCTGGTCTTTTTGTTCTGGAAAGATATCAAAGGTGGAAGACATCTTTTCTGATTGTTGCCTTCATCTCTCTACCAGCCACGAAGAGAGATGGGGTCACCCAACTCTATTTTGATCAAAATAAAAGTTGTTTGCTTGCTGAAACCTCAGCTCAGGAGTTTCTTTGGCTCTTTTAAATTCCTGAGTAATGCTGGGGCAATTGTGAGGCTAAGTGGAAAACCTTACAACCGGAAAACATACAAATGAAGCCGGGGTAACTGTGCTTTACAGTTTATTTATTTATCATATTTATATAGTCACTTATCTCAAAAAATATGACACTGGGCAGTGCACAATCATAATCAGCCTCATGTCCAAATTTCCTGCAGCCTTGTATCAAACCATGGTGAACGCGTTTGCCATGAATGAAAGCAGATATACACATCCCAGAATAATGTTGCAAGAGCCAATCTGGGTTGGTCACCGGGACCAGAGGTTTAGTCTTCTTCTGAGCTTTTGGACTCATGCTGGAACTCATCCTCAGGGGACATTGTGCTAGAAAGAGGTTCCTTGAGGAAGGGCTCCAGGAGGAGCCCAAAAACTCGGAAGACTAAACCTCTGGTCCAGATAGCTAACCAGGATTGGATCTGTGTTTGTGTGTTTATGAACCTAGTAACTTAATTACAATGTAGCATAGTCACATGATTAAAAATGTATTATTAAGCTATTATACAGTTCATACCTCTGTCATTATAAACCAGTTATTCCTGTATTGGAGCTAAATTTTGATTCAAAGGAAGATTGGAATTGCAAGCAAAATTAATTGGAAATAACTTGCCATTAAAATCTAAAGCAAGGAAATGGAATTAGCACTAACGAGCACATAAAAACTCCATTCTTTATGAACAAAAAATATCTAATATTTTTTCAAAAAAAATACAGTATTAAAGAGTTTGGAGAATTAAAACAGCATTATAGGTGATCCCTTTTGGATCCCTTCTCTTTAAAAAGAAAAGAGGAGGGGCAGAGCTTCTACTATTCAAGCTAACTCCTATCCGAATCAACACGCTCCATTTTATGTTTTAACGCCCTATCTTTTTAAAATAAACATCTCGGTTCGGATCTAAAAAAGAAGTCCTGCACCTATAGCCGCGTTGCTTTACCCATCAACTTTCTGAAGATGTCAATCAATGAAAGAAACCACCTACGATTGGCTTTTCTGTGGGCGGTGCTCCCGCGGAAGGAGAGGGCGGGAAGAGGGCGGCCTGTGCGTTCCCATTGCCGCGGCTGGGCTGTCCACCCGGAAGGAGCGCCGATGGTTTGTGTCTGCCGCTCGCTTGTGTGGTTGGCAGGAGGTGGCGCGAGCCCCGCTTGGTGGCGAGGTAAGGAGGGGAGCGCAGAGCCAGCAAACTGGCGGGGACCCTGCACAGTTGGCGCTTTTCTCCGCGGCAATGATTTGGGGAAGGGGCGCTTATGTAACCGTTGCGTTGGCCTCGGCACTGATTATATTCTGGCTGCAATATGGAAAAGGTATGAAGCGTCTTTGGAGTGTTTATCTCACGTGGGTAACGCGTACCTTTACGTGTCGGCTGCTGTAAGCAATGCATAGCACGCCATAAACACTGCCTGCTTCCATTTAGTCACCTGGAGTCGTACTGTATTTGAGGTTGTCTGTACAGCATGCATTCTCGAACTGTCTCTATCTCACCTCTCTTGCTTTATAGAACACCTTTAAAAGAAAGGAGGGGGGCGAAAGAAACTTGCTTTGAAACCTTGTATTTACTCAGAAGAGCCGCTGAGTTCAATGATGATTATTCAGCAGTATATAGATTGCAGTGTTACAGCAGAGTACGCCGATTTGGTGAGAAGTGGATTAATTTGGGCATGTTTAAGGGCATAGTAAAAAAAGTAAAGGCATTCACGTTCCCCGCAATGTTTTCTCTGCAAAATCGCGGAGAAATTTTTACAGCAAAAAAAGTTATTGGCCTTAATCACACTCAAAATGCAAACTTGAAGTTACAAAGTAAAACCGATCGATTTGTTTCGAGATCACGAAAGGACCGCTCAGTAACAGTCTGCAGTGGGATTAAATTTATCTTGGTCTTACTTTAGGCGTGGTTTTTGGTACCTGTGTCTGGATTTGCTGTATTGAACATTATGCTATATGCCATTTCGCGGATAGTGAATTGGCTTTTCAAGGGGTAGACCACATTTTAGATGTTTCAGATGTTTTCTAGTGCCGCTTACCCCGAATAATTTATGTGCAATTAGGAATGTTCAATGGTTAGAGAAGCCAGATGCAGTATCTCTAAAACTGCTTTCGGCGGAGGCGTGGCAAATTCGCAAGAGATCAATCGTTCGGTTTGCATAACACTTCAAACCAGTATATGTATTGTTTGCGTTTGGTTTTAATGTGTTCTGCGGCCTCAGCCAACGTACTTTGTGAAACACAATTTAGGGTTTGGCATATATGCCTGACTTCAGTGGTGATTTGTTCACTGAATTGCGATTGTAAGCGATTCTGTAGAGTTTTTTTTTTTCAAGGAGAGAGTATTTGTAGGGCGTGTGGTTCTTATAAGAGGTCCTGATGAAAAAAGGCTGCAAAGATAAAATACTAAAATTATCCGGAAAACTGGCATGTATCTAAATGGCATGTGTTTTCTTTTGGAGCGATTCGACCTTGTTTGGGGCACGTTAGGGGGGTATCTGTATTGTTTTCTTCTGTGGCGGCACATGCACGCCTCTTTTATTTGCAGAAAGGAAGTCTGGTCGAGGTCGTGTTTAGGTAGCGCTGCGGGCTTCTTCGTGGATCTGGGTCCGAAATTCCATTTTTTTTTTTTCGTTACCGCCGTAGGGCTTAGATCCCGAGGGAGCCACCCTGTTTGGGGAATGCAGGGGGGCGAGGCCGCGCGCGAGGTGCATTGTCTTCGCCCCCTCCCTCTTCTCAGTTGAAGTTGTGACCCCCGAGTCTCCGCCGCTTTGTGCGTGAACTTGGTGACTGACTGGTGTGCGCGCACGGAGGGGAGGGGGACCGAGTGCAATGCGCGGTGACGCTGGGCTGGCTTGGGCCCTCCGGAGCGGGGAAGGAGGAGGAGGAGGAGGCCGGCTCAGGGCTTCTCTTCGGCGCCGAGCTCATACCGCCACCGCCGCCGCCGGGCCATCCCCGAAGCCGCCGGGCAAGTGAGGCGATGAATGGCCAATCGGCCCTTCAAGTGCCGCCACCGCCACTGCTGCCGAGCTCCCGCAGCCCGAGGCGAGGGAGCGGCCACCGCATCGGCGGCTGAAAGGCCAGGCCTGCGCCAGCCACTTCCACCGAAGCAGCGACGGCGGGGTCCGGCTGCAGCCCGGCGGCGTGGGGAAAGTTTTGCTCGGGGCCGAACGGGCGGGGGCGGGGGCGGCCGCGAAGGGATGAGGAGGGGGCCCGGCGCAACGCCGGGCTCTCTGCCGCAGCCGGCAAGCCGCGCAGAGGGTGGAGTGGCCGGCCGGCGCGGTGGGCGTTGATCCCCCCCTCTCGCTCGCGGTCCCCGCCGCCCCCTCCCACTCCCCCGCCCGTTTCTCTGCCGGCCGGCCGCGCTCCTCGCCTCCCCGCCCGGGCGGGCGCGGCCATTGCGGCCCCCGGCTGGGCGGGCAGGAGGATGATCACCAACACGCGGGGCTTCCTTTGGTCGGACCTGGAGACGCGGGCGCTGTTGGAGATCTGGGGGGAGGCGGACGTGCAGAGCGCGCTGGACGGCAACTTTCGCAACAGCCATGTGTACCGGGACGTGGCCTGCCGCCTGGCCGAGCTGGGCTTTGAACGCACCCCGGAGCAGTGCCGCATCCGCATCAAGGGCCTCAAGCGCCAGTACTACCAGGCCCGCGAAGGGCTCAAGAAGAACGGGCACGCCCGCAAGATCTGCAAATACTACGACGAGATGGATCGCATTCTCAGCTGCCGGCAAGGCGGGCACGGCCTCGATGGGCACGGAGTTGCCGAGCGGCCTCTGACCCCAGCGGGGGTGATGGTGGTGGCGGCGGCGACCGGAGATGAAAGCCACCACCAGCCCGCCATGGTGCTCGCCGCGCCCCCTTCCGCCAGACAGAGCGGCCTCCGCAACCGCCGCCAGGCGGACGCGGAGGAGCAGGACGACGAAGACGACGACGACGACGACGACAAGGAGGAAGACGAGCTGGAGTCTTCCCCGCGGGACAACTACCAGGACGACTCGGGCGAGTGTTCTTCTTACGCCGACCACGCCATCAAAGTGGAATGCCCCCCCTTCGCCATCCCGCTGCCACCTGCCGAAAGTGAGTTACTATACTAAAAAGGAGAGTGGGGAGGGCAAAAGATTTATCTTTGACTTGTACTCTGATCTTTCCAGCCAGTGCCTAGTTGGTTGTGGGTGAGATGCTTCTCCTACCTTAGTTAAGGTCTTGTACCTCACTCTTGTATTTGCTGCCTGGAAACTGAGGCTGCAATCTTTTGCTCCTTGCCCAGAAACTGTTGCATTGAGCATGGGCATGTATTGGTTTTATGTATATACAGGTTACATATAAATGGGCATGTATAGGTCATTGTGGATTTCCATTTAGAGCAGTGTTTGTCAGACTTTGCAACTTTAAGAGGGTGGAGTTAATGCTGGCTGGAAATTCTGAGAGTTAAAATCCACAAATCTTTAAAGTTGCCTTAGAGAAGGCTCTGTTGTGTTGTGTTTGGCTGGCTTAAAAGTGAATATCTCAAAGCTTGCACACCATAAAAGTCATATTTCTCTGTTACATTCTTAGTTCCACCTTTGTCTATCAGAGATCTTAAGAAAAAGTCTCAGCACAGCTGTCACCTTTCTCTCCAGTTCTTGATTAAATTAGCATTTCCAAGCTGTCATTCCCAAATGAGTTGGATTTCTGTTTCCACCATCTCATTGAGGGAGATAATAGATATGGTGCAATATGTTGAAGAAATCTGGTCTAGAAGTTAAGGAGTCTTACCTAATAATACACAACTTAGAGCTTGTCCATTCAGATAAAGTTTGAATTATCCTCCTAGATAGAGGCTGGTTAACATTAGTAAATTCCTTGTTGTAATAACTGCACTTTATTTTAAAATTAATTCCTATTAACCATATTATAAGTGCTTCATTTAATTTAACCAGAAAGAATCCTTGTTCTGCATATGCCAACTGCATATTAAAATGTTACCTAGCAACAGCAGGGAGTCAAAAACTGATGTAAGACCTTGGAAATATCTGCCTTGAATTCTCAGTGTTTCTCAACCTTGACAATTTTAAGGCATGTGGACTTCAACTCCCAGAATTCCACAGCCAGCATTGCTGGCTGTGGAATTCTGGGAGTTGAAGTCCACATGCCTTAAAATTGTCAAGGTTGAGAAACACTGCAAGTCTAAACAATATACTTCATATTCCTGAGGACACTGTCACATTCATTTATCCATGAAAAAATCAGACATGTCTTGGGATCCCAGTGAACTTTTGATCCATTTCTTTTATTGAAGGATACAAAGAGTTTTAATACCCATTTACCCCTCAAGCAAATTTTTGATAGGCCTTTTATACAAATTCTGTGTAAAAGGAGCAGTATTGTATATTTACTAATGCTATTTTCTGCAACATTTTTAGAAAATTATTCATAGAAAGCAACAGTGGTGTTCTACTCTTGTGTTTTTTATTTTGCCTAATTCTGGCTTTATAAATTGACAGGCGTTAGGTCTGGTAGTTCACGCTGTTTTTTACACAGAAGTTATATCAAAGACAAAATGTATGGTTACATTCCTTGTAATATATCTATAAAAGTAGGAAATTAAGCTGATGATAATGAAATGCAATAGAAGTGCTATTAGAGTTGTGTTGTAAAACAACTGAGTTACTAATATTTTGATTAAAATAAGCATATAAGTTTTTAAGAGATTTTTGCCTCAAAATCAGAACACCCTTGCAGAATCTGAAAGACTGATTGATTATGGGGTAACATTTTATGGACTATACTCAGTTAATTTCTATGAAGAATACATTAGAGTTGACTATAGCCCACAAGGTATTATACTGTAATGAATATTTACTAGAATGGTACATAGATAAATATGAAATTTTAGGGATACTTTTTATTACTTCTGTTCTTTAAACTATTAAAATTAGCTTGCTTTTGTTTTTAGGTTTTAAACAAATTAATGCTCACACCAATGCACCACCATTATTATCTCAGGCTAAACGATCAAAAAAGCGACATGCAAATTTAACACTGGACAAAATGATGGAAAAGTTTTTGCAACAAAGTATGGATACTGAAGAGAAGTTTTATAAGTATGAAGAACAGCGACTTAAAATTGAAGACAAACGACGTGAAGCAGAGCATGCCAGGGAGCTCCAGATGTTGCAGATGTTGGGACAGATGTTAGCAGGAATCTCTTCCACAGTATCACAAAGGTCCCAGTTTGTACCAAGTAATCCTTCACAAAGATCAAATCACCGATCCTATGGAGAAAATTTTAACTATAATTCTATGACAGCAACATTATCCCCACCCATAGGTACTTCATTCTCTTGCATTAATGATACGTGGATCTACTAATTAAGTTTTGTGCACTTAGTTGTGCATCTTTCTAAAAATCAGTGAAATTATACTTGGTATTCTGAGGTTTGTTTTAAAAAATGAATTGTGTTCAGCTAATAAAAATATTTCTGTAGACATGAAGTTTGTTTAAAGTTATGCTTTTCTTGAGCATTGCTTTGGAATACATCATTGTAACGTGTAGTTCATATAGTTCAGCATTTTTAAAGATGTAGAACAGTAAGTTATTATTTTAGATGTTTAAAATGAGATTCTATATACAGATAGTAAAATCCATGTAGCTGTAGTAAAATCCAGTGCTCGTAAACGTCTGGAATTAAATATTTAAAATAATGTAACATTTTCATTAGAATCAAAATTAACTACTTAAAAACCACAAGCATACTGTATAAATAATTGCAGAATACAGTGACCTATTAAAAAGTGACTTGTTTAAAACTTTAAAAAAATCATGGCTTATAGCAGAAAGGAGGGTTTCATCAACCCTCCCTAATACTAAATAGGAGAAGAATGCTTCTTGTTTGTAAATAGCAATATCTGGCAATAGCAGACAGTAGCACTGCTTCCCTTTACTACATTACTTTCACTAATCTTCCCCAGTTCTGCCTGCCCCAAATATCATATTCTTCATTTGAGGGCGTTGCAACTTCATTAAGCATTAAAATATTTCAGATTAATTGTTTCTTATAAACTTCCTGCCAAATGTGGTTATTAGTGCTGGAAGAACTGCACCTTTATGTTAGGTAACTGTGAAAGCACTTCCTGGTTACAGTACTAAATTTACATTCTAAAGCAGCTATTAAGATGCTCTTAAAGCTGCCTTCATGCACAATAGGTTTTGCATAGTTGCACAGTAATACAATGAGTAAAGTTTTAAGTAGGGGAATATGAAATTTGTATCCTGCAGTGTCAGGCATTCCCACCCACTCCCCCAGCACATTTGCTGTGGCACCTTGTATATCACAGGGTTTGCTGGAGATTGAATTGAGGAAACATGAAAAGGATGCTTGCAAATCCTATTGTATTTAGTTGTTACCCTTGGAAATTGTGCATGTTAGGATATGCTTAATATTTCCACCCATAGAGGTCTAGAAGATTTTTGGCAGTGCACAAGTTTCTTATCATCTTAATCCAACCTGCTATGGAACAGAATTTGAAAACTGGTTTTAGAACAACTCTCATAGCTCACTGTGCCGATGTTCTTCAGGACTAGAGGTAACTGCAACTGAATCCAGCTCTATGTATTTTATATAAATAAATTTTGAGCCTCCATTAATTGTGGAGTCCTTGTTTGATTTTTGTTATTTGCTTTCCGATGTTTCAGTACCTTGATACTAGGCACTAACTCAGTGTGAGTTAGTGTGGGCTTTACTCACTATTTATATACAGTCACTTGCCTTGCCAGTTTCTGTGGGGTGAACAGGGAGCACACCCCACACTAATTTGCACTGATGATGTTACCTAGTTGGGTACTGAAATGTCTGCAAGCAAACAATCAAACCTAGAGGACTCCACAGTTCAACCCTGATTGGAGTCTCCATTAAGATTCAGAGTTTCATTCTGAACTTGTAGAATGCCTTATGATTGTTTAGTAAGCTTCATTGTACAAGTGCAATGTAAAAATAATACAAGTTTTGTGTAGTGATTAAGATACTGGCCTGGAAACTAGACTTCTAGTCCTGCTTTAGACATGACACTCAGCTGGATGACTTTGGGCCAGTTGTTCTTTCAACCCAACTCATTTTACAGGTTCACTAGTTCACATGTGAACCAGACTATCATTACTTATTCAACACAAGAAAAGTTAGCATGATTTGTGAACATAATTGAATTAGCATCTATCTCTTGGCATCTTTTCATTCTGAAGCAATATGCTTTTAATCAGTTGTAGCATTTTCCCTTTGCAGTCTCATGCATAAGATAGAAGTCAATACATACAGTACATCTGGTTAGTCTTGTCTCTCCTGAGCGACAGGTGTTATTTCAGGTAGTTGGCATGCAACAAGTAAAACTTGGTTAAAAAATTGATTTATGTAAAATCAGTAAAATCAACTGCCTGAAGCTACTTAGAATGTTTAGGTTACAGTTAAGACATCTCCATTTTTTCTCATTAGCATTCCCTCCCAATATATTACATACATCTTGGAAATCATTAATAATCAAGTTGAAAAAAACAAACAGGAACTTGATTATTCAATATGAAACACTTAGATCAATATGTTTAGAGAATTCAGTACATTTTGCACACCTCAGTTTCATAGTGAGTGAGATATCTCAGAATAAAATATATGTGTTTTCTTAAGAGATTTCTTGTGCTTCCAAGCATGTGTGACCATACCCAAGTAGGGAATTGGGAAACTGATACCTAGATGTGGAAGACTAAAATAATTGTTTTGCCAAACTAGAAATGTTTTTATATCTGTTAGAAGGTTGATGATTGGGTGGGTGGGGGTAAGTGTGGTAAACAAAAACATACATTGTATACTGTTGGTTGTGAATAAGATTATGTGGAATTTGGGTTGTTAAAATATATTTACAATATGTTTTAACAGGGCAATTTCTTTAGAAAAAAAGTCTTCTGATCTGTGAATACATAACGTTTAACATATTAATCTTAAAAGTTTATATTTGTAATATTTATTTAAATGTCCTTATTTTTTTCAGTTATAGAGAGATCTTTTTCCGTTCACAAAACACATTCCATAAAGGAAATGGAAAATATATTTCAATTGGTGCGAAATGTTATTCCACCTTTAACTGCCAAAAAACATAAAGGCCAAGATGGACGAATAGGAATTGTTGGAGGATGTCAAGAGTAAGTTAAATAAAAATGTACAAATATGTATTGTTACTATACTGTCTCAGACATTACTGTTTATCTTTGTGACATTAGCGTTATCTTTGTTTTTTACTTGTATCATTTTCATACCAATTATTGTAACCTATTGTAACCCAATTAAGCAACCTAGAACTAAGGAGAAATTTCCTGACAGTTAGAACAATTAATCAGTGGAACAAGCTGCCTCCAAAAGCTGTGAATGGTCCAACACTGGAAGTTTTTAAGAAGAGACTGGACAGCCATTTGTCTGAAATGGTATAGAGTTTCCTGCCTGAGCAGGGGGTTGGGCTAGATGACCTCCAAGGTCCCTTCCAATTTTATTATTGTTGTACCATTTTTGCCATTTCCACAGAAAATTATTTCTCAATTTTACAGTATTTTTTTTCTTGCATGGAAGTTGTCTTCAAATAAAACAACACATATTACTATTACATACTTGGGGCATAGACATTGTGTTAATCTTCAATTAAGGTGTCACAGCAAATTCATGCTTTAGGCGTTAGAGGTATATCAAGGTATATCTTTTGTGTGTTCCAAATAGCTATTACTATAAAACAATATGTTGCAAATGTAGCTTAATTCTAACTAGAAAGGTTACTGCTTTCATTGAGTGTTACGTATTGGTTTGGAGAAAGTGACAGAAAGGAAAAAAATACATTGGCCTGATCGCTGCCATATTTCTGCACTTTTGGAATATGACTCCATTTTCATCATTAGCGAATTAGAATGATAAATGTGTATCTTATTTATAATTAATGTAGTGTTAGCCTACTGAACCACTGAGAGCTTCATAACAGTTATTTTTGGATCTTTAAGTCATCATCTGACTGCAATTCCACAATTTATTATGTAAATTTGTATCTGTCATAAAAAGCAATAATGTTAAGGAATAAAATGCAGAAATATCACAAAAAAGTGATTAAATATTAAAATTCACTAATTTTTTAGTTTAAAATTGTATGGTACATGAACTTTTATGAATTAAAGTTTCTTTTTTGTGTGTAAATATATATAATAATCAGTGATTCAGGGTGTTATTGTCACATTCTATATCTGAAGTTCAAAAGTGAGTATAAATCCTTTATCTTAGAATAACTGCATATTGTACAATGATAATAGTTGTATGAAAAGGCAATGCAATGTTAGATTTACTATATTTGACAAAAATGTTAATGTCGAGAAAGTATCAGTAGAAATATGCTGATAAAGTGAAGTGATGTTGCTATTTTAATATATCACATAACTTTTCCTTGTGATATAAGTTCATTGGTCACATTTTTAGTAAAGTATATATTTCCTGGATTTTTTTATATGCAGGTATACAGGAGCACCATATTTTGCTGCAATTTCTGCTCTCAAAGTGGTATGTTTCGTCTTACATTTGCGTGGAGTACAATTAAAGAGTGGAGTACAATTAAAGATATACTGTTCTTTATTCCACAGTTAAACACAATTGGACTATTTAAAAAATGTGCTATGCCCTGTTCCCAATAATAGAAAAAAATGATAGTTTTGGTGAAATGTCTAATTTATTCAGCAAACTGAGATTTTAGTGTATTGATAGTACTATATATGTAGGTCATTGGATGTATAAATTTTAATATCCATCCATTATTAGACGTAGATGTTGGTCACGTAGTGTGTACAATGGTATTAGAAATTTTGGAAATAGTAATTACTAAAGCTGCTCATTAATCATGAATGAAGCTTGAATTTCTTGATGGATTGGAGGATTTAATTTATTCAAGATGGACTGGGTATCCTAACCTGTTGTGTTCCAAATTCTACTCCTTTCTGAAGTTTTGGCCCTGATTTGTTACTTCAGAAATTTGGCAAGTGGTCCTAGGGCACTATGCCAAGAAGGAGAAGGAGAAGAAGAAGAAGAAAGCTGACATTTAAATAAAACACCATGCACAGGAGGGGTAAATGTATTGGATTTAGTTATTAATTAAATCAGAGCAGTCATATAACTGGGTCATCTCTGGATGCTTGATTTACAACAGTTAATGACTTTTCCAAAGTTAACAACAGCATTGAAAAAAGTGATTTTTTTCACATCTATAACTATTGCAGCATCCCCATGGTCACATGATCAAAATTCAGACACTTGGCAAGTATCTCATATTTATGACATTTGTAGTGTTCTGGGATCATGTGATCAACTTTTCCGACCTTCTGACAAGCCAAGTCAATGGGGAAGCCAGATTCACTTAAAAACTGGGTTACTAATTTAACAACTGCAATGATTCACCTAACAACTGTAGCAAGAAAGATTGTAAAATGGGGCAAAATTCACTTAACAACTGTCTCTCCTCAACAATATAAATTTTGGGCTCAATTGTGGTTATAAATCGAGGACTAGCTATATTCATAATGAGTTATTTCATTTTTTTATTGGTTGCATTGTAAACTTCATAGGAAGAAACTGTCCTTGTATATTTACACCTAACTTGAATATATTATTTTATTATTAATAAAGTAAGGGAGTTTTAGGTAGTGGCTTTTAAATATAGAAAATATGTTTATTTCTAATCTGGAACAGGTTTTTTTAAATTAAAGTTAGTGAGATTTACTTCTTATATTTAATATTGGGGAATAAAAAGGAAAGAGAAACCTGAGAATGTTGGATTTCAGCATGAAATCAAGAGAGAGAAAATGTAACTTTGAAAAATTTTAAATAAATGTTACTAATGATTGAAAATGTGTCCTTTTTTTTTTAGGGGGCAGACCTATCACATGTATTTTGTACCAAAGATGCAGCAACTGTAATAAAATCTTACAGTCCAGAGCTTATAGTTCATCCAGTTCTGTAAGTATTTTGTCTTTCTTTGGACATGAAAAAAAATCACATGCTTAGCCAGCTGCTATATAACTTAGGTTTTTAACTCAAGAACGTTAATTCCAATCATAATTTTTTAGTGATATGTTCATATCATCATACAAAGCCATTGTCTTTTGCATCTGTCTAAAGAGTAAAGTATCTTCAGATGAAATCAGTGTGCCTAGAATTGACAGGGTAATATTCAGAATTGTATATGCAAGTGTTCCTTATGTGTCACATGCATTTTTTCATTTTTAATTACAGTAAGTTTTATCTTGCTGAAACTAGGATCATTTCAAAAAATTATATTGAGATATCTTTTTTTCCTTTCATACAGTTTCTTAAAGGCATGTAGGCATTTGATTGCTTCAGAAATTAGAGGCTGCTCTCTGAAGTCATTTAAAATTGTTTCTCAAACTTGATAATTTTAAAATGTAAAGACCAATTCCCAGGTTGGCTGGAGAATTGTAGGAGTTGATCCACACATCTTAAAGTTGTCATGTTTGAGAAATTATGTATTAAACCAGGCAAAAGGGTACTCAGAAAAGGGTACCTCTTTTCTTTTCTCCCACAAAGAGTGATGCTCAATATTCAAGCCCAGCACTACTTGGATTTTTGTTGAGGTTGAGTTTCAACTGTAAGTTAGATCCCCCCACACACACACTGTTTGTTAAAGCAAATATTCAGCAGTGCCTGAAAATTTCAAAAGCACCAAGCTATTTTATGGAACCCATTGCCTGTGACTGGTGACTAAGCGAATCTAAATGCATACACCTTATAATATTGTAAATATTATATGAACTTGGGGATGGGGAGAGGTTAAACAGTCCCATGAGATGGCACTGAGGGATGGATCAGGAAGCATGCTGACTGCCCAATTGTATGGAATGGGTAGAAACTAAGGAAGACAGCTTTTCACTCAGATAACAAGGTGTGAAGAACTTGATAGGTGAAACCTGCATCTTAAATTGTGAAACATACTGTGAAGAGTTCAGTTTTCATGCAAAAATCAGAATATAGTTCTTTACAAATGTAATATTGGGAGCTGCTCTTATGAAATACAGAGGGTATTCTCCCCACCCCTCTTTGTTCAATTGCAGTGCATCATGCTTTATCCATAGCAATAAATTGATATCCCTCTATCCCAATTGTTTTTCAAAAGTAGCTGGATGTTAACTTTTTTTAATCATATGAATGTGGTGATCTGTGTTTTCAGGAAAATTTCTATATATCCTACTAGTACAGTGGTTCTCCACCTGTGGGTCGGGACCCCATTTGGGGTCGATCGACCATTTCATGGGGGTCGCCAAGCAAGGCTGTCCGCCATTTTTTTTGTCCGCCATTTTTTTCCCCTTTTCCGGCGGGTGCCTTACCTCCCTTGGGCTGGGCCAGCTGGTGGTCGGCCTGCTCCGTCTCTGCCGCTTGCCAGCTACGCCTCGGCCAGCGCAGGGGGCGGAACCACGCATGCGCGGCACTCCCGGGCAGGGAAAGTCCTCGACTTACAACCGGTTGGGTAGTCCTCGACTTACGACCGGTTTAGTCCTCGACTTACGACCGGTTTAGTCCTCGACTTACGACCGGTTTAGTCCTCGACTTATGACCGGTTGGGGTCGCGGCATTAAAAAGGTTGAGAACCATTGTACTAGTAGATGCATAGAAAGAAAAATGCTATAGTGGTAAACTGGAAGATTGTTTTTTATTCACATAGTTTGATGTTTCTTTTCAGTGATAGCCCTGATGCTGTGCGTGAGGTAGAAAGCTGGTTACCACGACTTCACTCAGTTGTCATTGGACCAGGACTGGGAAGAGATGATATACTACTTGAACATGCCAAGGTAACTTGGACTTCTTGAGGTATTGTTGGTACATTGCCTGGATACTATTATTATTTTTTAAAAAGAGAATGTCAGCTTTATCATTATTTATAATTCTTTATGCCATTTCAGAAATGTAAACAATGCTGCATGGCTTGCAAGTTATAAAAGCAGAATAATTTAAATAGAAATCATTAAAACATCCTATATTTATTTGGGGCTTCTGCAAGCATGTAAAAAAAGTTGTTACAGATGGTTGAATCTCAGGCTTTGGCTAATTTCTGGGGACCAATTCATAGATAATGATTTCTATAAAATATACGTGATATTTATACTCTCCTCTGCTTTTATATCCATGTGCAAGGTATGGTGTTAGGTATTTATTTTGAATGTATTTTTCTGACACTCTCTTGTTGGGAAAGAATGAATGCCAAAATAAAGTTTGCCTTTCCATGGGTTCCATTTAATAAATTTCTAGTAACACCTGTTGCTTAAGATTGTGAATGCCTGTATCATTGCACTACAAGAATTGCAACATGTGGAAAGTGACTTTATTTGGAATTGTTGAAGAAGAACTCAAAAAATGGAACTGTTTTTTTCCTTGAGGAAGAAAAGAAAATGTTTTACTTCTCAATCAAGAAGCTTCATCAGTTCTGATGGCAGGGGCCAATGGAAGGATAGGTACTGACAATTGAGACTGGATGGTGAGGGGATGGAAGGATAAGTTCTCAGGATGGTGGGTGAGGATGGAAGGATTGTATTTTCTTGCAGTCATCTGGTTGTAATCACTCTGAGAGCTGTTGAGGCCACTTGGGTTTTATGCCCTATATGTGAACATATTTTTGGTGAAAATATTATTGTGGAAGAGAAAAAGAAAAATGGCAAGAGTAATAAATGTGATATAGAGCATATGTGCTTTTTAGAAGAGGTGCTTTATTATTTGGAATGGTTTGAATCTTACTCTGTTTTATTTAAAATGTTGAAGTTGCCTTTTATTCAAAATGTATTCCTTTTTGCAAAAGGAGAAAAAGAATTACATTTTCCTGTTGCAATGTTATGATGTTTAATTTACAGTTTTTATTTTTTAATATAAATAGGGCATTATAGAAAAATCCAAGGTCAAAGGAATTCCTATTGTGATTGACGCTGTAAGTATGATAATTTTATTAATTTGTTTAAATGATTTTGAACTTATCATTAAATATTTCTTCCTATTGCCTCATGCAGGATGGTTTATGGCTCATTGCCCAACAGCCGTCTCTTATTCAGGGTTATCCTCGAGCTATTCTTACTCCAAATGCTATGGAATTTAGCAGACTCTATGAAGCTATGGTGAGTCCATACAGTTCTTAATTATATTTCCATGAGGGAAGACACTCCAAACCCAAATTACATTTACTATTACTAATGTAGAACTTCAATAATTAATTAAATAGGCTTTGTGATTTTAGCCCAGTTTAAGCTTTTTAAAGCATACATTTGTAGGCTCTCAACCAGATGGGGGGGGGGATAAGAGTTCACCATGATGTAATGACACCCAGAGAAGGTGACGTTAAATCTCAAGATTGCTTCATATAAATATATTTGTAGTTTATTTGTCTAGCTACAGATAACTACAGTCCCTATATATACAGGTGGTCTTCGTTTAGTGACCGTAATTGGGATGGGCAGATCTCTTGTTAAGCAAAGCTGACATTAAATGGGAAATCATGTCTCTGTGACTGTGCTTTTCTTTTCCCATTCTCCTGCCCTTTGGAACATTCATCTGGGCACTGGATAACTAGCAAGAAGGGAATTAATGTTTGTATTTAAATTTATTGAAAAGGAAGGCATTACAAGAGAGTAGGTAGGCACACAATTGAGAATTCACATTGAAAGGAATGCAGTTGTGCCAGCAGAGGTCAAGCACGGGACAATGTGTGCTGGCTATAATGGTGATCACATAGACTGAGGGATGCTATTCAGTCATAAATGTGGTCATTGGTTGTAAAATTATTTTTTCAGCATCATTGTAACTTTGAACAGAAACTGAATGAGGCACTCAGTAACTGAGATCTAACTATAGAGGCAATAGATCACAAGTCTAGCTGGCTAGGCTAGGTTTGAGTTTGAGAAGGACTTAGACAAGATGCCTTCATGCACCTACCTCATTTTGTGCAATAGGATAAAAAAACTAAGTTACCATCCATCTTCAAGTAGTTTGGTCAATCTTCCAACACTTCTTCATACTTTTCTACATGAAAAGCATCATCTCATCAAGGTCAAATGTAACTGTCTCTTGTTTGAGAATGACTTATGTTTTGAAATCATTGCTTGTTGTGTCTTAAAAAGAAAGCTTCATTCTAATATTTTTTTTAACATTACACAAGTTAAAACTTTCCAAAACAAACCCTTCTAAGATCTGGGACTTGCTTTGAGTGGATTTTTGTACCCCTTCTTTTACATATCTCCATTCACCTTTGCATAAATAAGTGCAGATAGCTTGTGAACAAATCAAGTGAGATAGTAAGACTTGTTACAAATATGGCAACATCTCTTGTATGGCTAATAGAGACTATAGTTGAGGAGGTAACTAACATTTCCTAACATAAAAGTTTAAAAATAATATGATGAATTTCTCATTACTTGCTACAATTAATTCTCCCTTTGCTCCTTTCTAGCTTAGAGACCCTGTAGATAACAGTGATTATCATGGATGTCTGTTAAGACTCAGCCAAGCCTTGGGGAATTTGACAATTGTTCAGAAAGGCGAACGAGATCTCATTTCAGATGGAGAAAAAGGTATATGAAAGAACCACAAAGCAAATATTTTTATAAGTTAAACATTTTTTCCAATATGGGTAGATGGTATGGGGAAATGCAGGTGCATGCATTTAATATATCAAAATTAAGGGAGTACTAGAGGTTTTTTTGCTAGTCATGGGTCAAAATCATATTTTATGATTTTAAAATATACATAGATGAGCCAGCAGGGCTATTTGAAAATGTAAATATACAGTGAAATTATTAAATAAAAATTGCTGTCGCTAAAGCGGTTCTTGTCTTAAACCTTTGAAGTTAATGTAATAATGCAAAAATAAAAGTGTAATAGGAAAAAAGACAATCCTATGCCTGTTCAGTGAAATGTAGTTCTGAGTCCATGTGCATATAACAGTGTTTAAATATTAATCTTATAAAATAGATTAATAAAATAAAATAGTTTCTGTTAACAAATTAGTTAAATTCAGTTCTGGTCATACTTAAAAAATGAACTTTGTAATTAAAGATACAATGCTTGCTACACTTCATGTCTACATTTTTTTCAGTTCTCCCACAACTCTGTTCAATAAGGATTATTTTCAGTTCCTTTCATTTTTTGTGTTACAGTGCTTGTATGTAGCCATGAAGGAAGCAGCAGGAGGTGTGGGGGACAAGGAGACATCCTCTCTGGGTCCCTTGGAGTCCTAGCCCACTGGGCCTTTCTTGCGGGACCAGAAAAAACAAATGGGTAAGGCATGTCGTGCATTCTGATCAGCTTCTCTTGATTGATGGGTACCTTTATAGAACAATTCAGCATATGCCCAATTTACAGCTGCTCTGTGAGAAAAATAGGTGGTTTCTAAATTTGATATATAAGCAAATGAATAAATTTCTGTTAGCACCTGAATAGATCCAGCATCATGGCTAATATTGCAATGTTTGGTGCAACTGTTTGCAAAATTCATCTGACATGAACTGAACATAACACTGGTAAAATACATTAATTTTATACTTGTTTTTTTCTTATGCTACTTTATCGATTTTAGTCATTTTCCCTTTGAGAAATCCTCACCTGGTTTTGGATGTTTTTATTGTTACTTGCATTTTAGTCCACAGTTGGACATACAGGTCTGGGATATTTAGCATCTTTTAACTCTGATCTGATGGGCAAATGGGTTCCATCATTATTATTGTTTTCATTGCTCTTACTGCCTGTTTGTACTGGCCTAAGAACTAGCAAAGATTTGTTGGTTTGTTTGTGCTTCTGATGTTCATTTCAGATTTAATTGGGATTCTTGTTTCTATTTTAGTCAAAATCCCTTTCTAGTGGCTGCATTTGGAGCATGTTCACTTACAAGGCAGTGCAACAACCAAGCCTTTCAGAAATTTGGACGGTCTATGACAGCCTCTGACATGGTTTTAGAAATTGGAACAGCCTTTAATAAACTTTTTGAAACCTAAGACCAAAGCAGCAGAAGAGGAAAAAGAAGAACAAGTCTGGCAGCCACAAAAATTGCAGTAGGATATCCTTGTACAATGCATCCCTTTTCAAGTGCTGTTAGCAGTAATGGTATACTAGGTAGTTTTTATTTTTTAAAATAAAAAGTGTAGGTATTTTTAACGGGTTTGGATTTTTTTTTCTTTTCCTTATTTTGGGCTGAATAAGCTGTAGTTGCAGATGTTATAATAAAATAAAACTGAAAGTATTTCCTCTGTTCTATCTTACAGGTTGGTTTTTGAGCAATAATTACCAGTAGCAAAAAAAGACTCAATTGATAGGCAACATAAAGATAAACCAACTGTGGATTCATAAGCCCCATGCTTATTTTCTAGTAAGTACTTAAAGGTCTGTGGAGATTCTCAGTCATCCAGGTCATAGTTGTCTCAAAGGTACTTTTCCAAAAGGCAACTGGATGTTTTTTCTTAAGGAAGATGAGTTTTGCTTCTCATGTAAGAAGCTTCATCAATTCTGACTGGATGTTGGGGAGATGACAGGATGTTGGGGAGAAGATGGAAGGATCACGTTTTTTTGCAGTCATCTGGTTTTTAGCATTCTCTCTGAGAGCACACTCTGAGACTCAATGGCTCTCAAGAGTGCTAACAACCAGATGACTGCAAATAAATACGATCCTTCCTTCCCCCTCCCCCCATTCAGTCAGAAATAATGAAGCTTCTTGGATAAGAAGCAAAATGTCTTCTTCCTCAAGGAAAATAAACATAGTCCAGTGGCCTTTTGAAAAAGCATATTTGAGGTAAGTATTTAAAGGCTCGTGGGCTGCACTTACTAATTTCAATGGAAGGAAAATTAACTGTATGTGAAGGTCTCCCATTGAAATAAATGGGATTTTAAAGTACTTTGGTGGCTTGTATTACAATATTCTTCCACCATCTCAGCTTCCTAATTTGATTTGCAAGAATTAATTTGTTTTGTTCTTGCAATAATTGCTGAAGTTCAGTTCTGTGCACTTAGTATGCCAGTTTTGATAAGTGCCGTCTTTGAGCAGAGACTGCATGCAAATTGCCTTTGACTCCTTGGTCTGTAAAGACACTAATTTTTCTACCTTCTTAAAAGGAAAGGAGGGGGAGGGTTGGAAATGCATTGCTAGTTTTTGTTTTAAAGCAGCACCAAGAAGCTGTAAATCATGGCATGTGAAAATAGAATTTGTTTAGCTGAACATATTAAAGCTTCATCTATTATTCAGTGCTAGTTTAGAACATAAAACTAAATCATTTGTGGAGAAATCAGGCATACTTGGAATTGGGGGTTCAGTAGGTTATATTACAAAAGAGGGAATGTTTTAGAAACAGCTCACCACGAGCAGCTATTGCGTAGATCCCACAGTCTTTGCACAGAGATAGTGGATAATAGAAAGTGCCCTTCATGCTTTTATACTAGCATTAAAAATCACCTTGTAACATACTACTGCATGTGAACGTATTTTTAGGGGGGAAAAATCACCAGCATTGAAGTGGTTCAAAACTGAAAAGTGAAGTATTAACCTTAATTGCACAATAAGATCACTCAGCTCACAGTAGACTGCAACAGAGAGAAGATAGTTCAAAGCTCAGTAGCAATTTATTCTTAACATTCAGCATCCTTGCAATAAAGGCTATAGATTAGAACCATCCAAGAGCATTCAGCTGCCCTAAGTGTATCCTGTTAGTGTTACTGAATAAAAAGCTTAATTTGGTATGATTGAACTAAATATTTTGATTTCAGCAGTTTCATCTCATAATTGTTTTCAAAAGATTGCAAAAAAAAGATGATGGAATATAATTGGTTTTTACTTGAATGATTAACAGTCTGCTACTATGCATATTTACTCAGAAATAATGTCCAACAAGTCAGTGGAGCTTATTCCAAAGTATATATGTGGACAACTTAAGCCTTAGTATATACTCTCTAGTGCTAAATTAGCACTCCTCTTTGTATACGGACAGTTGCTGTTGGGGTTTGTTACAAGGTACAGTAGTTAACCACTATTTGATGCTAACTTGCTTTGGCAAGCAGGAAATTGCTCTGTATAAATTCAGTGCTTATGGTTAACATTTCAGTGCACTGAGATTTCTACCTCAGAACATTTGTTTTCTTTACATTAAGAGTCTTCTCTTCTTTGGTTCTATCAAAGTTCAGAGCACAGCTCATTAAAAAAATTAAGGTACAGGTTCTGCTACTTGGAAGTATGGGTGAGGGATAGATCTGCTATATGTGGAAGAATAGGATAGCAGGGAAGAAAGTACGTGTGGGCCTCTGCCTTGCTTCCGATTGTACAGATTGGCATAATTTTTCTTTCTGAATTGTTGAATTGTCTCTAAAAAGAACCTGTTTCTCTGGAACCAAAAATATTTCAAAACCAGAATCTGCCTGAAATAGATCCCATATTGTACTCCTGCATCCAGAAAATTGCTGTATAATTCAATAATTATTCTTCCTATCTGTAAGTGACTAGGATGTTATGGTATACAAATAAGTTTTATATGCCTATCACCCACATCTAAACTACCCAGTGCAATTTTTTATTTCTTGCATGTTGGAGGGAATCTACAGGAGGACAGGCAAGTTGTATTTAAACCCTATATTTCTCATATCTGCTCCATTATACAATCTGAAATTATTTGAGATACAAAAGGATGAGAAGCAAGTGAACCATTCAAGATGCTTCATTTGTGAGTGTTAGACCTATAAAGTGGAATGGATTCCCTGTGTTGTTGAAGTCTTAGCAAGGTCTTGACAAAAGGAAGATGCTAATCATACAGTAGATGTTTTCAGTTAATATGTACCAGAACTCTCCCACAAAATTGAAACCATCATTAGAGCTGAGAGATGGGAAAGGTAAACATTTAAATTAAATTTGTAGGGAAACCAAATGTCCAATTTTTCAGATGGCTCAGATGAATAACTACATTAAAACTGCCTGTTTTTTATGTTGTTCACTAGTGTATAAAGATTTACATTTGAAATTTTCTGAAGCTGTAGGAGTTTCTTTTGAGGAAATAAAAATGACAGATTGAAATAACTATAGTGAGTATTTGTTTATCCTGACTTGGTTGATGAATCTGTGATATGGCATTGAACTTGTGTTTCCTTTTTAAGCTGCATTTAATTGCCTCATTACTGCAGTTATTTTCATTTCTCCCTGCAGAAAAATAAATAAGAATTCATTTATTCCATCAACTGCCAGTACCTGCGTACAGTAGTGTTCAGTTAGAGATTTATTTCCATGTGGATGTCACAAGGGATTAAGCAAAACCTTTCTCTAACCAGTATCTCAAGGCGTGTTCATTAATAGAACAGGAGACCCCAACATCTTGAATTGATAAGAACATTTGCATTACATTGCAAACTTTCCTTCAAAATGGATTTTGGGTTGGTGTATTCATTCAGAAAATAGTTGTCCCGGTGATGGAACCTTACAAAGCAACTGGTTATAAGGTCAGCTCCACAAGGATGCATCCCATCACACGATAAGCTTTTTTCCTATTTCGACGGGGCCCATTTAGAGCTTAGAAGCATTCTTGAAAATAAAGATGTCAAGTCAAGACACTTGTTCTGCAGCATGCCAGTTTTAATAAAGAAAATGTAAAAAAAAAATCAAATTCAGGAAGCTTTCTGGGTACCCAAAATAGTATTTGCATATGTATTAGGACTTCTGGTTCTGTGTAGCCAAATCCTGTCATATAAAGCAAAAGGGGGAAAAGTACACTTTTCTATTACTAGTGTGCACCAGCACTTTTGAACTTAATTTTTGTTGGTTGTTCTGTCAGATCTATCCTTGTACAACTTGTGGCCATACAGAAATTATGTTTTAGTGGCTCTGTGATTTCTTCTATTATAATGCAGTTAATCCCCTAGCAAGGGATAAATGAGCATGAACAAAGTGCAAGTACTTTTCTGCCACAATATATAAATCTCAACTCAGAAGTAATTTCCATTCTATATAGGATTTATTACTGCAAATGGTGCTTATCCCTGTAACTATCAATGAAGGAGGGTTACCCTTTGATGTGGCAGAAAGGTCTTCAGCAGCTTTGGAGGCAGACTTATTTCAAAATGAATAAAATTAAGCACTCTTGTGCTCCATTCATTTTTTTCCTCTGGTGATATTTTATGTACGCTGTACTTGGTCCTCTCCTTCTCATCTAGGGCAATGGCAGCTAATTTTTTTCTTCCTCTACACACATCTTAAATTGCCAAATTTGAAAAACACTGTTCTACACAGTTCTGAATTCAAGAGTGCTCACTCACAGGATTAAACAGATGGGCAATTTCTAGCTTTTGCAAGAGAAGGGGAATTTGTGAAATTGAGTTCTATGCCGGGCACTGAGTACAGTTACCTCAACCACAAGTGTAATTCCCATAAAAATCCACCTAGATTGGCCCTTGGAACAAGCTCATCTGTCAGATTCCTGCAGAGTGACTTAGGTGGCAGGGGGACAGGGATAAACAGCACTGTTCTTCACATCACTAAACTGGCTATTCTGTGAAAGTAACAGAAAGAGGGAAATGAACCATTGTAGTAGATTTAAAGATCAAAATGGTTAGCAGAAATAATCGTGGAAGGAGCTGTCCCTAGAGATAAGGCTTGCTTCTGCTTCACTTCTCTGCTGCAAGGAGGTCTATAATAAACTGTTGATTTCCTTTATTCAAGCCAGTCTGGAGACTGGGAGGCGCGGACGAAACCAGTAACCCCATTTGGGGTGTTCATACATGTGCATTCTTCCTCTCCACATGTAAGCATGCAAACAAAATAGTCTGTTTAGCTTGCAAGAAAGCATGTAAATTACAATGGCTGCACTTGGCAACTCACAGGTTAAAAGTGGACAATATGCTGCTCATTTCCTCTTTTGAAGTTGCAATGCAAATCAGATCTTTTCTTACAACATTTGTTAACTCTCCATTTTTTTAAAACTGCAAGCGAGATCAATAATGTGTTCCCAGGATTGGGTGCCAAAAGTGTAAATAATGTAAATATGCCTATGGTCACGTAAACAAGTAAATACATCCCATTAATTATTTTTTTTACCTTTTCAAGATACATATTTGATCTTTATTTCAACAATATTGATAAAGGGGATATAACAAATATGCCTCATTTACATTTGTAGTTCCTTGTGTAATTAACATGAATGTAAATTTTGCATGTGGAAAAAGTAAATACATTATCCTACATTAATCTCCAATTCAGATACTCTAACATTAGAATTTTACAACAGAGCAGTTGCCAATGATTAGAACGTACAGGTAATCCTTGACTTACAACCACAATTGGGACTAGAACATTTACTGCTAAGTGAGGTGGTCATTGAGTCACATTTTATGACCTTGCCGTGGTCACTTAAGAAAATCAATTGGTTG